TTTCTCATGTGGTCTTCATTTACCATGGTCTCCTATTCCTTGTTCTCCCTCTCTGTTCTTGATCCAGGTGGGATCTCCCGCTCTCTTTCCCTCAACCCTCACCTTTCATTGTTCCCACTCATGTCCAGGCTGTTCATGTAGATCTCATCCATTTCTCTGTCATTGGGTGATCCCCGTGTCTTTCTTGGAAAATATTTGTCTATTTATTAGCTTGCCTATTTGCTTATTTGTGTGTGTGTGTGCAGGTGCAAACGCTTCGTCGCATGCATGTGGAGCTCGGAGCCCAGCATTCAGGATAGACTCTCTCCTTCTTCCACCTTTTTAGGGGAGGATCTCTCTCGTTCCTGCTGCTGTGCTGTGTACTCCTGCAAGCTGGCCCAGAGGCTTCCAGCCAAACCTCCTGTCTGCACCTTCCATCTCTCCAAAGGGATTCTGGGATCACCGTGTTTGTTTTGTTTCAACGCTTCCATGGATTAAACTCTGTCGGTTGTTGTCGAGGTTACAGAGCTACCTATTGCCTTTGCTCTCGAACCACCTTCCCAGCCACTTACAACTGTGGTTTGGCATCTGCTTTGACTTCTGTCCCACAGTGAGCTCTTCCAAGAAGACAGACGTCTAAAGAATAAAAACAACCACCACCACCACCCCACCCCCACCCCCGCCATGGTCTGTTCAGATGGGTCTCATTCTAGGTCAGAGCAGCGCTGCCACAGGGAAATTCCATGCAGCTGCCCCAGGGCAAGAGTGGGAAGTGAACCCAGGGCATTGTGCATGCTAGGCAAACACTCCACCACAGAGCAATACCCCCAGCTGCTGGGAAGTTCTTTAAGGAATGCACCCCTTTTCCCCAAACCTGGCTGGAGAGTGGGGGTTGAGCCTTAACAGGAACCTGTCCCCGCCCCAGGTTCTAGGAACTCTGAGGGAACTAAAAGCTTCAGTGAAAAGCAATGAGATCAGGTCATTTGGGCTGGTTGCCAGACCTGGACATAGACTCAAGTGGCCAGCAGCTTGGGTCCACGTGCCCTGTAGGCAAAAGACTAGGGCTCAGGCCTGCAAAAGATCCAACTGAACTATCAACAAACCTGGGATTGGAGACACTACCCAGTAGCCCAGGGCGATGGGAAGCAAGGTCCCTCTAGCCAGGAGATAAACTACAATTGGGTCCCAGACCAGTGACCCCCCACCAAGGAAACTGGCAGGTGCAAAGGCCAAGTGTCTTGACCTCTTGTGATTGAAGCTTTGCATTCCCAAAGCACAAGACAGTTTTCACAGAGCTAAGAATATTCTGACCATTTAGCAGGTAAGGAGAGCAGAGGCCCCATGAGGCTCAAGGGTGGTATTGTGGCCATAAGAAGGGCAGAACCTTAACCCAAGCTCTTTCCTTCTACAGCCTAGGTCTGGGGGAAGCATGGGCTCCTCAGACACCACTTGTGTCCCAAGTGCAGGGAATGGGCACACGGGCACTGCAGGCACTCTGGGGTCACATACAAGTGCAGAAGTGCCTGCCGCTACAAGAGTGTCTGAGAGTGTGTCCCTTCCTTCCTCTCCACAGGCTGCATGTTGTCCATCTGATGAGGCCGTGTGAGGAGAGACGTGGCTAGTGGGACCGGAAGAGGAGACAGTCTTGAGTTGACCAAACTCCAAAGCTGCGCCCGTGGTATTGGAGTTGTTTTTGGTTGGTTTGTTTGTTTTTTAATTTGAATATTTTCTGACTGTCACTTGAACTTTGTCATTGTGGTGGAGTTTTGTCTCCTCTCATGTTTGATCAGGGAGGAGGTGGAATATGTCCTTGTGCTCACCTAATTTTCATGTAAAAGTGTGCACAACAGGTACTTTACATTGTTTATTACCATTATTCATTTTTACTGTGCGTGTGTGTGTCAGTTTGCAAGTTAATACCACGTGTGTGCAAGCGGCCACAGAGGCAAGAAGAGGCCATCAGATCCCCTGGAGCTGGAGTTACAGGTGGTTGTGAGCCACCCCACGTGGGTGCTGGAAACTGAACTCAGGTCCTCTGGAAGAGCAGCAAACGCTTTTAACGGTTGAGCCATCTCTCCAGCCCCGATTTTGTTGGATTTGTTGTTGTTTTGTGGGTTTTTGGTTTTTGAGGGGTTTTTTGTTGTTGTTGTCTGTTTTTTGAGACAAGGTCTTTACACTGTAGTCCAGGTTGGTTTTATACACAAGGAAATCCTCCTGCATCTGCCTCCCAAGTGCTGGGGTCATAGGTGTGAGCCACCATGCCCACACAGTATCGCTTTTTGAAATAGCTACTAACCTCTGTGGCCTCAAGACTCACACACACCCCTCATCCAAGATCTTGACCTAAGAAAGCTATTGGGGTTCTCTACAATCGGCCATGCCTGAGATCTGTGGGGAGTGCATCCTGTCTTGAATCTCCCAGCCTGCTTTACTTGCTTTTCTTCCTATTAGGCTGTCCGTCTGTCAGGGAGTCTGTTGCATCTTTACCTGCCAGGCCAGGCCCTGGACCAGCCTCATGTCCTCAGGATTGATCACCATTTGCTGGCATTGCCTAGATAGGTAGGCAGGAAGTGAGAGGCCAATAGAAATTGAATCAGAGGTTCCAATAGAAATTTGCTCACGTGTCCTGCTCTTCCTCAGATTCCTCAAGACTTGGACCTTCCCAGAGGCCTCCGGGATTAATGTTGACTTGTCCTATGGAAGAAAGTTCACGCTTTCCATCCCATGACCACCTTAGGCCCCAGAAAGCGGCTGCTTGGTATCTATGGTCAAAGGAAGAATTGACCCGCGTGTGAGATTTTTATATGTCAGATATTGCTTTTATATGAGTGTGACATCCCACAGGCAGCGGGGTGCATGGGAGCGTGTGATATATAGAGGGCACTGCCGTGGATCCTCCCCAAGGAAGAACTTGAAGGGTGGGCTGGGTGGGGGCGGCTCCACCATTCCTCCCGTGGTGATCGTTTCATTGGTGTTAGACTGCAAAGCTCCGAGGCCCCCCTCCCTCGTTCTGCCCCCTTCCCCTCCTTCCTTCCGTTTCCATCTTTTTTAGCGTGTATGACAGGGACCACGTGCACACTAGGCTCCTACCTTATCAAGTTGCACTAGCTCTTCGGACAGGTGCTGGGTGAAGAGGGCCGAGTGAGGGCCAGGAGCTCCCATTGGGCAGGTTAGTGACAGCACACGTGCCTGTCCTGGAAGGAAGTTGTCTGACCCATTCCGGCTGCTGAGGACAGCCTCCTACATCAGGTGGTATCCCTGCGACAAAATGTGGAAAGTCTGCAGAACCTGAATCGATGGTAGCTGCCGAGCCTTAAAACTGATCGTCCTCTGAGGACACAGAACTTCTCCTGGGCTGAGCTGCCGCCGCCAACTCCAACTGTATCCAGTTCTTAAGCTAGGGCACCAGATGGACCCGTGGAAGGCCATGGCTGCTGTCTCCAGCATTTAGCTGCTAAGGAGCCTCCACTCAAATTCCCAACTTCGTGCTGGCATGCTGCCCCTACATTCTGCAGTGAGCCCACAAATCCAGCCTTTTCGGGTTTGTGTAGCCATCACGGCACACCAAAACACCAAGTCCCGGGCTTCATTGACCCCACACCCCTGTGGCAGTGGCTCTCTATGACAGATAAAGTGAGTTCAGATATGGTCCTAGCTGCATCACAGGGCACCACCCCCCTCATGGTCATCAGACAGGCATAGGCTGCCTGGGACTCAGATTAAATAAGCCTGAAGCTCCTAAGGTCCTCTCTTAGATTTTTGGGGTCCTCTGGGGGAGGGGATCCCCATGGATGTTCTGTTCCTGGGACTGCTTCTACACGAGCTTCCTCAGCTCCATGGCATCAATCCAGAAACAATTATAAGTCCATGATCATTTCCCACTTGGGTACAAATGAGTTTCATATAGCCCAGTCCGGCTTTATGTAGCCAAGGATGGCCTTGAACTTCTCACCCTTCTGCTTCCACTTCCTTATGGGCATGCATTACCACATCCACTTTATATGGCATGTGGATGGAACCCAGGGCCCTGTGCATGCTAGACAAGCATTCTGAGCCATATCCCCAGGCCAACAACTACGTCTACAGAGGCTGTTGAGGCAGGAGGAGAGGGCTTGAAAACAAAGGAAGTATTCACTCCAGAGTAAACTAGGCTCCAGGTCGATACTGCTCTTCTGAGAATCCCTGCTTTGTTTGCTGGAGGTGCCTTAGTGGCCTGTTCTCTAAACTCTCACTGGTTCCTCTTTTTCGTGTTCATTCACTTGTTTGTGTGAATCTAGCCTATGAGGAAGAGGGCAGCAGGTTCGGGGGGGCCCCTAGAGCAGCGCCCACAGCCTCACTGGCCCCCTGCCTCCCTCCTGGCCTTTCTAGGCTTCTGCACAAGAGTGGCTGCTTTCTGCATCCTGGCGCTTGCTGCCCAGGTTGGAGTTTCAAACAAACTTTCTCCAAGTAATTCACCCAGTCATTTACGCGTGCGCGCGCATACACACACACACACACACACACACACACACACACACACACACACACACGTGCATGCAGCATATGCAGAGGTTGGGGGAAGATCCCTCAGGAAAATTCCAATGCAACTTCTTAATAGAATATACCTTTAAACTCACTATATATGTAAATACAAAAATTCAGTGCCCCACTTGGAGATCAGTGTCTAGACTGTCCCCTTCATAGTGTAAGTCACAGTAAAAGATACACATTCCAGGCTCCGAGCAGGAAGACACCTTCATGTTCTGATCATCCTTTGAGCCACTCTGCGAATTCCTGCCTTGTACTCAAGGGGTTAGGTAACTACAAATGGACATAAATTCTCAACACACAAGAATGCTCAGGGACAGCTTGAATTTGACGTTGGAGTGAACAGGATAATGCCGTCTTGTCCTGAGTCCCCATTTTGTGTTTACTTAGCTCTCGGCCTTCTATCTCACAATAGTCACCTCTGCCTCAGCAACGCATGTGAGATTCCATGGCCCTGGCCAGTGGTCCAGATGTATTAAGTTTATACAAACACAATATATACTAAACTAACAGAAGAAAGACATAAGTAAAAAATAATCGCTATTTATGTTTGAAATAACTACTATGTTCTGCTGGAAATAAATGTTTCAAGGTTAGTTTTACCCTCACTTGGCTTTGATATAAATTATGATTTTTGTGAGTTTTACTTTTTAAAATGCTGTCGCCCCGGAGCTTCGGGACCAAGATACTCTGAGGTGTTGGCTCACTCTTGGTTGCCAACTCAAATTAAAGGACTCATAGAATCTTAATTGGATTAATCTGTGTGCTTGTCTGTATCTTTCTCCTGTGGATTATTTCAACGTGTGGCCCATGATGCACTTCACGTCCTTAACACGATTAGAGGGGGGCTAAGCAGGGGAGGCCGAGTAGAGCGGCTCTCTGTGCTGGGGCCAGAATCTGTGTGATGCTACCCTTAACTAATGCCCCTGCTCGCATCATGCCAACGAGAAGAGCCTCTCCCATAACAAGTGCATATAAACACCACCTGTCGGGGATGAGTGAGAAAGGCCCAGGCATCGGGCATGTGGTGTAAAGATTCAAGGACTTCTTAAAGGCTTGCCTGGACCAGAAGCTGCAAACTCCAGAGGTTCTGGGGAGTCTGTGTGTGGGTATTGAGGTAATAGATATACCCCTACTGTAGACTGGCAGGGCTGTTGGCCCTAAGCTGTCTTCCTGAGGCACTGGTGCCCCTGGCATGAGCTCTCATCCATCCAAATTCCTCCCTCCCATCCCCACAACCACAGATCTGCTGGACCAGAGCCTCGTGGTCTAGAGGGAGACACTGCAACCCAGGAAGTTTCTGGGTGGAGTAGAGAGCTGCTGGGCAGAAGAGGGAGGAAACGGTCCAGGAACAGAAAGGACTCTAGGTAAAAACATCTCACACAGGCTGGGATGACAGAGCAGGGTGACAGGAAAACAAACAAACAACAAACAAAAACACCAAGGGTGGGAGGAGAGGAGCGGGCCGTCAGGCTGGGGCAACAATTTCCATCCCTTCCACAGCTTTCTCCACTGGCTCTCAGGCCAGCCGCAGCCACGTGAAGGACACACACACCCATGTGCGTGCACACAGACACACTTGCCCTCCGGTCTCCTTGCTTCTGGACTCGTATGATTCACTGATTACAGGACTGGTTTGCTGATCTGACTACTCTATATCTCTCATTACCTCTTAACCACAAGAGCCATGGCCTCGTTATCTTTTGATGTTTTTTCTCTTTGCTGAACCATCACTGATTGAACTCATCCCACGTGCCAGACATTGGGAATGCTGAGGAAGGAGCACAGTGGAGAAGGATGGTGAGAGTCAGCCCAGCTGAATGGAGGAGGAGGAGGATGGGTGGGGGTGTTATAAAGTGCCCCCTAGCCGGGAGAAGGGGGAAAGAGCAGAAGAGGAGACACACATTCCCACAGAGTGGACACCCCTGACACCTTTGACTAGCCCTGTGACTGCGACCTCCGGAGAAAGGAGTTGGACTAAAGCTGGCTTCTGCAAGCCTAGCAGCCACACTAGAAGTCTAGACCATGACAGTCACTTTCCAAGACAAAAGTGGGAGCTCAGGGTGGCAGAGTGCAAGCTCTGTTGAGAGCAGTTGTCGCAGCCAGGACAGCAGACACAGGGACCTTCCACCTCATCCAGGACCTGTGACCGCTGGAGCACTAGAGACCATCAGAGGTTTAAAACCGAGGCATGGCACACCCCAGGTTCTGATTCACAACAGTCTATGTAGCCTCAAGGTAGAGAGCTGAAGGCTGTGGGTGCAGAACCTGATGCTAAAGTCTAGACAGAAGAGAGAACCGGGGTGTGAAGCATCACATGCTGAGAGCTGCCTCAAACACAAGATCTGGGGGGAATAAAGATCCTCATCTTCACAGGGAATGAAGCATCCCTCCGCTTTCTGCCCAAGGCCAGTTCCAGGCAGACCAAACTCCCATGTATCACCTCAGTTCCCTGTTCCTGCCTTGAGCAGGGATGGGGTAAGTCAGCAGGCAGTGCCTTCTCCTTCCCTTGACTTGTCTCTGTCCAACAAAATGCATCGAAATGTCTACATTGCTGCTGCAAGGGACTTACACCTGCTGGCAGGGGAGCCCTGTTGGTACTTCCACAGGGAGGCCTGCCTGGACTGTGGGACTGCCCGGAATCACCGAGCAAGAATTCTCAGAATACAAAACAGCTCTAGGGACTGATGACATGTATGTAAAATGATGTCTGTATGATAATGAAAGGTTGAGACACAAACATAAGGTTATGTGAAAAAGGTTTTGAGTTCAAAGGTATTTCTCCCCACATAACACCCATATACATGAATGTGTTTATACATGTATATGTGTGTGTGTGCATCTGTAGCTACATGTATATAAATACATGCATATACATACAAGTGTACAAACACATAGATATGTACACCTATGTATATATGCATGTGTACGTTGTTAGAGACATGATTCACATATGTCTGTTGCACATATGCATCTGTGCACATACATTTCATGCACACACACTTACTTCATTAGCAGTGGTAAGTCACCATAAAGGCAGCATCACATAGAGCTTTGTACTTGATTGGCGCTCACAAATGTTTGCTGAATTAGAACAAACCTCTGCCTTGCCCATTCTGATTTTTATCGTTGACCATTGCTCTCAGGAGTTAATGTTTGAACCTGGCCATAAAGAAATCGACAAGCACTGACCTATGGCCTATATCTGAGGAGGAAGAAGCCCCTTATAAAACAGCCACGAGGGGGTGGCCTGGCAGGCAGAGCTGCTGTGGTCAGCTGTGGAAAGGGAGCCTCATCGCCACCATGAACTTCTCCGGCAAGTACCAACTGCAGAGCCAAGAGAACTTTGAGCCCTTCATGAAGGCAATGGGTGAGTGTTGGGTGGGATGCCAAAGCTGATGTAACGGCAATGAGGGGCTAGCTCCACTCTCAGCAGTAGAAGGAAGGATCCAGGCTATCCCAAATTTAGGAATGTGATAAGCTGCAACCCTGACCAATGTTTAGAGACAAAGCTACAATACTGACCAATTGCTTGGAGATAAATGCAATGACATGTCCCTCAATGTTGATGACTTTATACCAGGCATAGCAATGCCCACATTTGGTACTCACCATAAAACTGAGTTGATCACTGTTGAGACAGCTGAGGCCAAGAAAGGAGAAGTAGCCACGAGGGCTGCTGTATCGGATGTATTGGAGTTGGAGTCAGAAGCAGGTGCTGGGTCCCAGAGACCCTAGTTAAGTGGCCTACATCTCTCGGGGTATAGGAGGGAAAGACTGGTGCTGAAGGCCGAGCCTGGGACCAGGGAAAGAAGAGTGCGTTCCAGGAAGAGAAAGCCCTGTGGGCAGAGGGCAAGGTGGGACAAAGGAGAATGACAGAAAAGATAGGAAACAGCGAGAGCAGGGAAAGGAGGACACTCGGGTCATCGAGGGACTCAAAGGTTCTTTTGTGGACAAGTCACAGCTCTCGAATTCGAGGACCCCTTGGCTGTACAAAGGGCTCTCTGCTCTTGCTGGGAATTCATGATTCCTGTGAACCTCTATTCATGTAAAGGCACAGATTTGCTCTGACATCGGCAAAGCCCTATTCTGGGGCAAAGGACTTCTGGACATTACCCATAAGAGCCTTGACTCCAGAGGCCACAGCAAGTGTGCCTGGCATGGTCACACTTGTGTGTGGGACCATTTGAGTTGGAAGATTAACATCCTGGAGGATTAAGTGTTCCCACTCTAAGAACAAGACCACTAAACAAGAGGGAAATTGGGAGGGAGAATGAGTAAAAAGCAGGGAGACAAAAAGGAAAGGGCCTCATTTTTGGTTTTTCGAGACAGGGTTTCTCTGTGTAGCTTTGCGCCTTTCCTGGAACTCGTTTTGTAGCCCAGGCTGGCCTCGAACTCACAGAGATCCACCTGGCTCTGCCTCCCGAGTGCTGAATTAAAGGTGTATGCCACCACCACCTGGTTCCAAATGAGGTTCCTTATTACAAGTGAATTGATGGGGCTGGAAATGCAGATTAGTGGGTAGCATGCTTGCCTAGCAGTTCATGGAGCCCTGGGTTCAATCCCCAGACCATAGAAGCCCGGTATGGTGACACACAACTGTAATCCCAGCACTAGGGAGGTGCAAGCAGGAGGATCAGATGCTCAAGGTCACCCTCAACTATATAGTGAACTAAGGCTAGCCTAGGCTACAAGTGACTCTGACTCAAAAACTAACAATACTAATTGGGAAAATGGTAGCAGGCCACTGACTTTCTCCATCAGAAACCAAAGGCCTTACTGCTCACAGGTCTGCTATATAGAAGTGTGTGGAGCCTCAGGAATGTACAGTGATCTCCGCTGCTCCTCCAGACTCTAACTTTACATGGGCTCTTCCAGGAATGTCTGATGATCTCATCCAGAAGGGGAAGGACATCAAGGGGATATCAGAAATCGTGCATAACGGGAAGCATGTCAAACTCACCATCACCTATGGGCCCAAAGTGCTCCACAATGAGTTCACCTTGGGGGAGGAGTGCGAGCTGGAGACCATGAGTGGGGAAAAGGTCAAGGTATGTAGTCCCACCTCTTGTCCCCCCCAAATTCTCCTAACGGAGACCATGACACTAAACCCACTTCAGGCAGGAGACACAGAGAGCTCTGAGAACAGACTTCTCAATGTCTCAGGGATCATGAAACATCTGGGCTCTCTCTATAGACGATGTGGGGGAAATGGGGCACAGAGCAGGATCCTCAGGGTCAGTGCTCCAGGTTCTCGGAGTCCTCCATGGAGAACCCGGAACTGGGGCAAATCAGTGTCAGTGAAAACCTTTACTGGAGCCAGGGCAGCTTCACCTCCTCGGGGCAACAGTTCCAGGTGGCAGTGCCAGCTGCCCGTGGGCTGTGTGAGCGATGGACAGGTGATAACAGAGATCCAGGGCTGTGGGTCCTGTCATCTGCCCCTCCCCAGGAAGCCTGCACATCCCAGGGAAGCCAGTGGACTCTGCCTCTGTTCTCTCCACTCCTGCCTTTCCTGGCAGCTTTGTGCCTCAGGCTCAGCAGGAGTCTCTGCCTCTTCAAGTTGCTCTTGTTTCTCCTTTTCTTACTTGTCAAGGTGAAGAGCAGAGGGTGATTGGGTGGGGTGCCATGGGTTTTCCAGTGGCCCATTGGGGAGGCAGATTTTTGACCTTGTGTCTTTTGTTCCTGACTATACTTCTTCCTCCACCCTCCTTTGGTTCCCTCCACCCATCCCTTGCTTCCTTTCTTCTTATTCTCTTCCCTCCCCCAGCATCTTGCCATATAGCCCAGACTGGCCTCAAGCTCAGGCTCTTCCAGCTCCTGCCTCCTGAGCACTGAAATTAAAAGCGCTGCACTGTGCCCAGCCACTTCAATTTACCACCATCCTTGATGTAGAAGGCTTGGAATTGGCGCCACAATAGGAAAGACTAAATATCTATCACAGCAAACTGTGTCCCCACGGCGGCTGGTGATTGGAGTTCTGCCACCACCTCCCTCTATAAGCTTGAAAAATAGGATTTTATATTTTATTTTAGGATTTTTTTTCCCCAGGGGAGAACCACTTAGGCAGGCTTGACATTCTCCTTCATTCATAAGTATACTCAATTTCCATTCAGTGCTAGAGAACTAGAGATGAACAGGACATTGACTCATTGCCAGTGGTCACCATGCGGGGAAGCAACCTCATTAGCGTCATTGCCAGGCCTTTGCTCGTGGGTCATGACCTCTCTTCCCTGCAGGCCGTGGTTACTATGGAAGGTGACAATAAGATGGTGACAAGTTTCAAGGGCATGAAGTCCGTGACCGAACTCAATGGCGACACAATCACCAATGTAAGTTGGGCACTCTGGTCTTGCCATCCCACACCTTGTGGGGAATGGAGACGTAAAGGGTGAGGGGCAGTTGTATGACATCTCTCATTCTCCATCTTTTCCTCCCTGAGATCTTGACTTTAGTCAGTGTCTTCTACCACTTAAGGGGATCCACTATGTGCCATGGAGTTGATACATATTGTCTCGAATCTTTTGAACACCACTTTTCTAAGTGGGGAAAGTAAGGCTATGACCAGAAGAGCTGGTCAAATGGCAGTCAAGACCCCAGAACTGGGTCCATCTCTTGAGCTAATCTCTCAGTTGTTCACCACTCAAGGCCTAGGGAAGCTGTTCCCACCATAGACAGTGGAAATTTGCACTCAGTACATCTGCAGCCATCTTGTTCTGAACAAACCAGGGCTGAACATCAGGGTGATGTTCTGACAGACAGAAGAGCAGTGTCTTGGGCAAGGGGCACCTTTTCTA